TGGCCCCCCTGCGCCCCCCCATGCCCCGTACATCCCTATATACTCCCCACAGCCACCTATACCTCCCCCAGCCTATATACCCTCCCACTCCCCACAGAACTCCCCCCACCCCTATAGCTCCCTGCCCCCCAACACACCTCCCTGCACCCCATATCTATCTATACCTGCACCCCTATAGGTGCTCACTCACCCTATATACCCTCCTGCACCCGCCCCCCATGTCCCCAAGCCCCTATACATCTCTTTGCACCCCAACCGCATGCCTCCCTGCACCACTATACATCCCCCTGCACCCTATATAATTCCCTCTGCCCCATAGGTTACCCTGAGCCCCTAAACCATTCCCTGCACCCCTATACATGCCCCTGCACCCCACACCGCTCCCTGTACCCCTATATATTAAGTGGGCCCCCCATAGAGCTCCCTGCACCCCTATATGTGCCCCTGTGCCCCATATAGCTCCCTCTGGTCCTATAGATTACCCTGCCCCCCATACTGCACCCCATACCCCCTATACAGCCCCCTGCACCCCCTATGGCTCTCTGTACCCCTATATCTAGCCCTGCCCCCCTATACCACCCCCCCGCATCCCTCTATGTGCCCCCACCCCCCATATGGATCCCGTACGTCCCCAGTGCGTTTCCGCATCTTCTCACTGGACCCCGATCTGCGGCCGAACCCCGAACCCATCCTGATCACCATCACGGTGCGGAGTCTGTGGGTCTGGGCTATGGGGCAGCTCTATGGGGCTGGGGTGATCCTATAGGGTGGTTCTATGGGGCTGGGGCCACCCTATGGGGCTGGGGTGGTCCTATAGAGCTGGTGGCCCTATGGGGTGGGGCTGTCCCTATGGGGCTGGGGTGACCTACAGGGTGGCCCTGTGAGGCTGGGTCTATGGGGAGAACCCTATGGGGTTGGGGTGGTCCTATGGGGCTGGGCCTATGGGGTGGCCCTATGGGGCTGAGGCTATGGGGCAGCCCTATAGGGTTGGGCTGTCTCTATGAGGCTGGGGTGACATACAAGGTGGCCCTATGGGGCAGGGAGCTATGGGGCTGGGCTGAGCACTCCAGGGCTGGGCCGTGGGTCCCCCCCACGGGTGCCGTGGGTCAGGCCGTGGGTCATGACCCCATGTCACCCCCTGCCCCCCCGGCTCCCAGAATCCCCTGGGGGCACGGGTGCGGGAGGGGCAGCGGGTGCCCCAGGGGATGGTGCTGAGTGACCAGATGGTGCTGCCAGACATCGCCCTGTGAGTGGGGCCGCTATGGGGCTGGGGGGGGCTATAGGGCTGGGG